ATCCAATGATTAGAGCTCTCCCTAGTAATACCATGCCTATGAACCCTCTAGAGACTGAACTCCATATGCCACTATTAGAAAGTTCAATTTCCCCAATCACCATCAGCACAACCATTAGACTTCCATCAACATATTCTCTATTCAAAATCATATCAGACTTACCAAGCAACAAAAAATGAATCTGCAGCCAAACAAAATTACAACATATGAGAACAAACATAAGAACATATGAGAAAACATCATTGGTGCTAAACGAATGGGATTATGTTTAAAAATAGCCAACAAATCAAATTTAAAAAAAAAAGAGTAAGTAGAAAGAATAATCAACAAATTAGAAACTAAAAATATATAGACTAGATGCATTATTCCCTTATTGTTGTGTCCATACATAAGTTACAATCTCAGAATGCATTACAAATGCATAACAAAGCATTAAATTATACATGTTGTTACAACAAGAGTTAAATACGAAAATAAGCTTTTATGAATATAATAATGAATAATCCACACTAGAGGGAACAAAAAATTGTGCACATTATCTTGGTTGGTGGCTATGTGCAGTACAAATAATACAAAATGCACTACAGTGCTTTCAATTACGCATATTGTAGAATTTTGGAAAAACTGAGCTTGCTTTCATTCAATATTCACAACGTATATATACATGTGCCAAGTCCTACTCCAAGTATGGAAAGGACTACTAACCAGGAAACTAATTACAAAGGAAACTACTTACATATATGGTAGTAAATAAATATATATGCTAACACTCCCCCTCAAGTTGGAGCATGGAGATCACGAATGCCTAACTTGGACAATAAGAACTCGAAGAGAGGCCTGTTCAAAGCCTTAGTGAACAAATCAGCAATTTGTAGACGAGTAGGGACATATGCGGTGGCGATCACGGACAATGTGTTTCACCGCGCTGAACGCATTCACGGACAATGTGGCAATCAATATCAATATGTTTCATGCGTTCATGAAAAACAGGATTGGCAGCAATAAACAGAGCGGACTTGTTATCAAAAAATAAACGTGGCGTCGTCGGTGGAGTAATGCCGAGTGCCCCAAGAAGACTGCGGATCCATCGTACCTCGGCACATGTGTTAGCCATGGCACGATATTGAAGGTTGGATGTGTTCATCAACACTGTTACAGATCCAAGAACAAATTATGGAATTATTAGCTTTCCATGCAGCCAATTCCTGTTCATCAGTGGGTTTAGGAAACCCGGAAGGATTGAGAAAACCTGCTCTACTACGCCCTTCTAGAGCATTAATAATTGTTTTCTCCCAAATATCATAATTATCACCTTTGAGAAGATGTTTTGTCAAAGAATTACCCGCACTTTCTGACGGGTGGATGTAATACGGGGAGGTAGGGTCGTGGATGAGCCTGACCTTCTTTGTTCCTTCGGTTGTCATGAGGCCAAAAAAATATGAAGCACCAACGTGAGGCGGTGACTACGCGACCGACGTGAGCCGGGGTTGAAGAGACCGACGAGAGCTGGCGTTGCAAAGCTGGTGACCGATGTGAGCCGATCGGAGAAGGAAGACCGTCGTGAGGCGGTCGGTGGAGCTACGGCGGCGGCACCGTGCGAGAAGAAGAGACGAGCCTAGGGTTTGAGAAAATCCCGGGAGATTGGCTCTGATACCATGTAGAATTTTGGAAAAACTGAGCTTGCTTTCATTCAATATTCACAACGTATATATACATGTGCCAAGTCCTACTCCAAGTATGTAAAGGACTACTAACCAGGAAACTAATTACAAAGGAAACTAATTACATATATGGTAGTAAATAAATATATATGCTAACACATATCGTTACAGTTAAAATTATTAGATTTGAAACTAACATTATACAAAGTAAGAAACTGCACCAGCAAATAATATAATAAAGGGTTAAAATAAAGAATGTGTGAATGAAACTATGAAATCAATTTTTGGTCATTTGAATTATAAACATATCAAATTCAGGCATCCAATATAATTATAAGAATCTACCAAAAGAGTAAACATAATAAGATCAGACATGAACTACAAAAAATAACAAAAAGCAAGAACCCACGCTGCGAATTGAAGAGAGACTGCTTCCGATCTCACATGAACAAGAAAAATGTGGAAAAACAAGAACAAATCACACTCGAAATTGTGAAGGAACCACGAATTTTTTGTTTGGAAGATAAAAAGACCATTATTGGATTCTCAATTGAGATGAGAAAAAAACAAAGAGAAACGTAAATAAGAGGTAAATACTTATTTGCCCTTGTTCAGTTTGATAATATGCGTATCTAGCTTTTTCGATCCAATGGCTGAGATTCATTCTTATTTCTTTCATAAGATCTCATTCTCATTAGAACCTATATATATATATATATATATATATATATATATATATATATATATATATATATATATAGGTTTGACACGGATCCTCAAGCCAAGGAAGTACAATCACACCGCTCTCTCCGAAGAGGACACCAAAACGCTTCATGCGATGATTCACAATGCCAACATTAATTGGTGTAAATTTGTGATGACTCACATTTTAGCACCACCTCCGATTATCGGCCGCTCCCCTACGCCCTCCTCGTCATGGCGATTCTTGATGAGTATAACATCAAGACCGATGTTGGGCCGAAGATAAAGGGGACAAATCATTAAGAGATTGATGAATCCTCCTTCCACTCGGGCACTGACGAAACTCCGTTTCGACAGCCTCGTCCACAACGCCAACCAAGGGATGCTTCTTCAAACACCCAATCTCTAGCCGAGCAAATGGCCGCCTTGACCGCCACTCTTTCTCGGATAGACACCAACGTCTCCCAAATGGCCCAAAACATCAACATTTTGAGTCGTGAGCTTCACGGGTATTTTGACTTTGTCAACTATCCTTACGCTCAAATGGTCCCTTACGTTCCTCCGTCAAATTTACGGGGTGAACCAAGCGGGACAAATGACGTGGGTGGTGAAGAAGACGAAGAAGAAGAAGAAGAAGAAGAGGAGGAAGACATCGACGAAGACCAACTCCTCGATGATCTCTCCCCATATTTCTAGAGCTCTAGCTCTTCTCTTTTCTCTTCATATTTTTTGCATTTTAAAATTTGCTTCCGTTTCGTGTACTCCGCCTTTTCCCTTATTTAATAAATAAAAATCTTTATGGTTTTTTTGTTGTTAAATATTTTTGTTAATGTCAAAAGGGGGAAGATAAGGGCTATGCATATATTAAGGGGGAATTTTCATTAAGGGGGAATTTTTTTTAAATAAGATCAAAACCCTATGCATATCCCCATCTTGTTTTCCATTATCAAAAAGGGGGAAATTGTTGGAACACACCTTTTATTACGTTAAACTAAAGTCGTGTTCATTTCTGATAGGTTTTGATAATTGTCAAACCGCCGTGGATATGAAGAGTTTTCGTTGAAAAACTCAAGGCGTGAAGAATGGCATGGAACAAGACCAAAAGACTCAAGGACAAAGATGAAGAATTGAAGACTTAGTCGAGTCGGTCTTATTGTGATCAAAACCGACAATCAATTCAAGTCTCGGTTCTCAAAGAGTCAAAATAATTTTACAAAATCATAAAACGTTTTTGTGCATCAAAATAAACTTTTTTTAAATAAAGTTTTAATGTCTTAAAAAGCCTGGTCCTTGCCCAGACCAAAAACAACCTCGGTCGGCATTCGGCGTTTGGCATCACCGTCCGGCATTCGGGGTTCGGTTTTCGGCGTCCAAACCAACTCGTTGGTTTTCAATATTTTAAACCTCGTTTTTACCTCTGGGAATATTTAAAAGGTTCCCAAATAATTATTTTATAAAAACCACTTTTGTATCTTGGTCAATCGGTCTAACACGTGAAAAACGGTCAAAACCGTACACATGTGACAAACGACCTCGAAGACTTGGTTTTTATCAAACAAGTCTTGGTTTCACTATTTTATACCATATACAATCTTTTTCAAACTTGGGTTTTACCTTTGGGAACACTTCGTTTTTGGACCTCAGCTTTTCGGGTTAAGTTTCTCGCCGGATGGTTTTAGCCAGCTGAAAATCTATTGTCAGCTAATGACATTCGAATATTGGCTACTGCAGTTTCTGAACTCAAAGTTCAGAACCATCCAATAGTCGACTAACACATATTGTCATTCGACTAAGTAACTTCGAACCCAGTAACTTCTGAGTGGCCTGATAGTCGAGTGATAGGTCTTGACAATCGACTATCAGTGTTACTGTTGCCCTCGAACGGATAGAGTTTTAAATTTTTGGACAAAGAATCTTTTGACAATCGATTATCATCGTTTGAAAATCGATTATCACTCTGCAATTCTGAAAATTGTCTTGATCCTGTTGAAAATTGTCAATCGATTATCATCGTTTGACAATCGATTAGACACAATTCTTTAACATTTAATACTCTTTCATTGCATAAGCATTCCTATTTTTCTTAGCTATTTGAGAGCCAATTCTTGAAGAAATTGTTGTGTTCTTGAGCGTTTATTAGTTCACTCATATCTACTCTTTATGAGAATTTTATTCCTGAGTGTTTAAGTGTTTCTATACACTTTAAGGGAGGTTGTTCCCTTGTTGTAAACTCGAAGGAAGTCTTTCGTTCCTTCGTGAGAAGTCTTGGAGTGCGGTATCTCCGAGCAAAGGCGTTCAGGCTCGTGTGACTCGAGTTCTCAAGTGGTATCGGTTTGTTGAGCACCTTTAAGCTTAATGGAGTTAGTGTAACTCGAGAGAGTTTCTCGGGAGGCTAGATTTGCCACACGTTGTGGTGAACCAGGATAAAATTTGGTGTGCTCCTTCCTTACGCTCTTTACTTTATCGCTCTCGTTTTTAATTTCCTGCGATTTTGTTTTAAACGCAATTCACCCCCCTCTAGCGTTGGGCCTATCTTCTAACAATTGGTATCGGAGCCGCACTCTCTGAAAGACTTAACCGTTTGAGAGAAACGATCAATGGCTTCTACTCAAAACTTATACGCAGGTTTAGGTGAAGGACAATCCACCACGAGGCCTTCGTTGTTTGATAGAACGAACTACACTTATTGGAAGGAGCGGATGAGGATTTACATCCAATCCACCTACTTTCTCCTGTGGAGAATCATCAAGAAGGGCGATGATGTGCCTATGAAGAAGGTCAGGGAAACCACTGTTCCTAAGACCGAGGATGAGTATGATGCGCAAGACATCAATTAGATCGAGAACAACGCAAAAGCCATCAACATCCTCTATTGTGCCGTGAACCCGGATGACTACAGGAAGATCTCTTGTTGTTCCACCGCCAAGGAAATGTGGGACAAGCTAGAAATCACCTATGAAGGTACCAATCAAGTCCGAGAAGCTTAAATTGATTTTCTAACCCATGAATAAGAATTGTTTCGTATGAAGGAAAATGAGAAAATCGATGAGATGTTTGAACGATTCTATAAAATCGTCAACGACCTTCATGCTCTCAAGAAGACATACACAGACAAGGAGCTCGTAAGAAAAATCCTACAAAGTCTCACACCGGAATGGCGCTCTAAAGACGATTCTATCCAAGAGTCCATTGGCATCACCAACATCACCATCGACGGGCTTAGAGGTAACCTCAAAACCGATGAGTCTACCATCCTTTTTCCCTCTTTAGGTGAACAAAAGAAGAAGGGGATTGCACTCAAGGCTTCCACAAACCAAGAACCCACCATGGAGGTATCAAGCGATGAAGACAACGAGTTCGGGCTTGTTATCAAGAAATTCCACAAGTTCATGCGAAAGGAGTATGAACGAAAGGGCAAGAAACATGTAGGACCACCCAAATGCTATGGGTGTGGAGAAATTGGGCATATCAAGCCAAAATTCCCAAATGCCAAAAACGAGAAGGAGAAGAAACCGTTCAAGAAGCACCGAGCTTACATCTCGTGGGGAGGTGATTCCGACGACGAATCATCGGAAGGCGAAGAAAACGAAAGCGCCAACCTTTGCCTCATGGCACACGAGGAACTACCGGAAGAGGTATGTACCACTTCTAAAGATTCCTATACTTTTGATAATGTACAAGAAGCCTTCAATGAACTTTATGATGAATATGTCAACGCTTCTAAAATTAACAAGGATTTGAAGAAACAATTTACTTCCATGGAAAAGGAAGTTGATAAACTATCAAAAGATAATGAAAAACTTAAAGAAGAAAATAAGTTTTTCGGAAAAAGAAGCCCCGACAAACTGGAAAGTTCAAAATGTAGTTCTTGTACATCACTTAAACAACAAGTTGCAAAACTTGAAGGAACCTTGAAGAAGTTTGGTGTTTCTCATAAAAATCATAATGATGTTCTTGACAATTTGCAACTTACTAAACATGGCTTAGGGTTTGAAAATGAAACTAATAATAATAAAGAAAAAGTTGAGCAACCACCTAAACAACCTAAGGCTACCCCTAGGAAAACTAAAATGAGCAATAATAGACAACCCAAAACAACTAGGAACACTAGACCACCTAGAAAGAACACTAGGATGAACAATGGACAAGTTAGAGAACCTAGAAACAATTTTTTAAATATGCATAAACAAAACTTTTCTCAAACTAGGATCAATCAATATAGAAAACCTAGTAACTATTATAAACCTAGGAGAATGCATAATCCAAATGTTATTTGTCATTATTGCAATAGGGTAGGACATATAGCCCCGGTTTGCTTCACTAGGCATTGCACAAAAAACCAATCAAGCTACCAACATGCACCTAACGCCCAAGGACCCAAAAATAATTGGGTACCTAAATCATTTTAAATTGATTTATAGGTGTGCTTGAAGGCATCAAGTGTACTTTGGTACCTTGATAGCGCATGCTCCGAGCACATGACCAGAGATGCATCCAAGTTCTTGCAAATCAAACCAACTAAAGGAGGAAGCGTTATCTTTGGTGATAATAGCAAGGGAAAAATAATCAGCATTGGTTCGGTTGGTAAAAAAGAAACCTCCTCTATTGATAATGTTTTATTAGTTAAGAGTCTTAAACACAATCTCTTGAGCATAAGCCAATTATGTGACAAGGGAAATCGTGTGACCTTCGATTCTAAATCATGCATGGTAGAACGTCTTAGTGACAATAAGATGATTCCTCATGGTGATAGAATCGATAACATCTATATGGTTAACTTAGATGAATCTCCTTCCGACTTTGCTAAATGTCTTATGAGTAAGGAGGACGATATGTGGCTATGGCATCGTAGAGTAGCTGATGTCAACATGAACCTCTTGAATAAATTGGTTTCACAAGACCTAGTAGTTGGCCTTCCAAAACTCAAGTTTGAGAAGGATACCATTTTTTATTCATGTCAAAAGCGCAAGCAAGTAAGGGCCTCATTTAAATCGAAAAATTGTTCTGTCTACAACAAGGCCCCTACAACTTTTGCACATGGATCTTTTTGGACTATCAAGAACAAAAAGTTTTGGGGGAAACTATTTTGCCTTTGTGATTGTTGATGACTACTCTCGATTCACATGGAGATTATTTCTAACTCACAAAAGTGAGGCATTTCATGTTTTCAAAACTTTTCTCAAAAAAGTTCAAAATGAAAAAGGCTTAACCACCGTAGCCATACGAAGCGATCATGGTGGAGAGTTCGAACGAGATCTCTTTACCGAGTTTTGTGACGAACTAGGCATCGAGCATAACTTCTCCGCTCCACGTACACCACGGACAGTTCCGAAGTATCAAAGACCATATGCCCTAACCATGGTTTAAAAAGTAATAATCATGGGCAGTTCAAGGATCTAATTTATGATATACTCAAGTATTTACTTCTTTTTTAAAAAAAAATTGATTTATGTGAAATATGTTTCGTGAAATATTTGAACTTCATATAAGATTAGTGTCTGTGAAATATGTTTCGTGATTTGCAAAAAAAAGGTAATATATTCACTGACTTTTAACCTCTGTGAATTTACATAATACCTACAGTCACTGTCTGGGAATATATATGGTTTCTGCTCTTGTTTGTACATCGGATTCTGATGCTCTGTTAGATATCAGAGACAGAAGAGAGAAAGGAGGGGAGGTGCTGAGGAAGATGATAAGGAGTCAGAAGAAGATGATGTATTTTATTTATGAAGTTGAATTTAGGGGTCTTTTATTTTTGTGAAACTCTTTGTAATTATTTATGTGCTTTGTAATGTATTTTTTTGGGGAAACACTTAAGATTTTGGATTAAGCTATATGTACATTTTTTGGTGTAAATGTACCATGCTCCTTAGCATGTACCCCACTTGTTATTGGACTTTGTCCCGAAAGCAGTGTTTGGAGGGAGTGTTTTGTCCACCCGCTATTCATTTCTTTCCAGATGAAAATTTGTTCAGTTAATACATTTAATTCAAGTCTTACGGCTGTTTTTTGCAGTTGTGCAAAGGACTTGTTTACATTAAACACTCATATAGTTTATGACTGAATTATAGGTTTTCCCAGTTTCTTTGAATGATCTAAATGTTTCTAAAATTGTTATAAAAGCCATTCAAACATAAAAGAGGTTTTATTTTGAATGATATATATGATTAACTTCTATTATTTGAACTTCATATAAGATTATTGTCTGTGAAATAGGTTTGCTTGTTATTTCTGCTTACTGTGCGAATTGTATGGCATAGATGGTTAAGTTCTGTTATTTAAACTTCATATAACATTATTGCCTGTGAAAGAGGTCTGCTTGTTATTTTTGCTTGCTTTCTGTGAATTGTATCTCATAGACGATTAACTTCTCTTTATTGAACTTCATATAACATTATTGTTTGTGAAAGAGGTTTGCTTGTTATTTTAATACTATTTTCCCTTGCAGGTATGGCAATTGTGGAGTGATGGTGCTAGCATTTCTAGAGTATTTATTGCTAGCCTTACCATTAAGCCCGGACTACAGTTCTGAACACATGGCTGATTTCTGATGTCAATTTGCAGCTAGGTTATGGCGTGGAAGGAAAACACCCAATATTTAGCATTTTTACTTTACAATTTTAGGGGTCTTTAATTTTTGTGAAACTCTTTGTAATGGTTTATGTGCTTTGTAATGTATTTTTTGGGGAAGCACTTTAGGCTTTTATGAAAGCTTTGTAATGGGGCTTTTATAATCACGAATTTGTACTTGTTAATGCACAATGTGTTAATGTATGTGATGACTGATTTACATTAGTTTATAACTGATTTACAGTTTTACTTTCAGAGCCCTCATAGAGAATAACTGTCTATTTTATCCATTTCACAGAGATTTAATGTATGTGACGACAGAGTTACATAACTTTATGTACATACACCATCTTCAGAATCTTATCACATATGTGGGGGTCTTGTAAAGGTAAAAAGAAAGTTAAAACGCATACATTAGATTTCAGCGGGCTCACATGGAATAACTGTCTATTCCACACACTTCACAAAGACTTAATGTATGTGAAAACCGAGTTACATCAGGTTTACATCAGCTTATGTGCATGGAACTCAGAGAAAGTTATCATATTTGTTACATACTTTACACAAAAAGCAAAGAGCTATGTGAAATACAGTTCCCATGCTCAATCCAAAAATGAGAGCAAAGTTCTAGATCTGATGCCAAAAAAGGACAATTAAAAGTCAATGTAGTGAAATGCCAAGCTCCAGTCCTCCCAAGGTGAGGTCGTAAACACCATCTCCGTCTTGCACGGGCCAAGCATGCTGCCGTTGTGATGCAATGATCTCAGACGCATCCATTTTCTTCCTCTTATTAGGTAGGTTATCATTTTTTCTACCTTCTTTCGGTTTCGGGTTTTTCTCTGCAAAAAAATAGCATTTTTAATATATTACAATGCCTGACTATAAAGAAAACAAAAATACACCAAATGCAGAGTGCATACAGATTATTAGCATCTGTGACAAGGACAAACCCTAGGTTCACAGAACTTTAATCTCTGTAACATCAAAACAAAACAGTATTTTTTCACTAATTCAAATGAATATAGAATGGGGTCTAAATATCAACACTTACAATTGGGCTGCAAATCATATAAAACCAGGTCTTCTTCTTCACCACCAAAATCACGTGGTTGATCATTCTTAACATGTGTAACAATACATGTTTGTAAGTCCATAATCACCAAATACCCTATGTACTCCACAAAAATTCAAAAAATTATTGCTATAGAAATTGACTAAAAATGGAATGAAGAGAAGAGATTGACAGAGGGATGGTCGTGCTACAGGGGTTGGCGCATTAGAGATATGAAGAGGAAGATAAGAAAAAGAAGATATTACCTGCCTTGTAGGAAGGAGAGCGCAGAAAATGGAGAGAAGAGTGGTGCGGCTGGCTTGCGCGGAAGAGCAGAGCCGCCAGGCAGCGACGTAGAGGAAAGAACAAAAGAAAAAAAAGAAAAAAAATGCTAAAAAAATAGGTTAAATAGGGAGGCAGCAAAGGAGGCAATGGTGGGTGCACTGTAGCACGGTTCTTTTTAAAATTGAAGATGGTGATGACGGCTGCGGCTGAAAATAATTCCTGCTGCTACACAGTTGGCCGGCCAGCCAGGTCGCGCCACGTGGCAGCACCTGGTTGGCCGGATTTTGATCCGGTCCGAAAATATTTTCTAAAAATACAGTTTTGCTCAAAATTTTATTCTAAACAACTTTTCCTCTTGTGCCGACTTCAAATTTCAAACAAATCTGGGTCAAATGAATTAATTTTGAAATGAATCAACATTTTTTTACTTTTTCTTTCCAAACAATTTCCTTTTTGTGCTTTTTCTATCCGTTTTACCTCAAATCTTTCGATGGGGCACATCACCACAATTGAATATACATTTTTCACTTCATGGATTTTCACCATCTTTTGTTTCCTTGCTCCGTTTCATTCCATTTGCACAATCTTTTACACTTTTTTGTACCACTTTTGACTCAATTTTTATTCTACGGAGTATTTAAAACTAGACATACGTTTTGTGCACGTTTACAATTATAAATAAAAACTTATAAAAACCATTGAGAAATTGATTTGTTTGATCTAAAATTGGACAATAACACATTAAATATAGAGAAGATAAGTGCGTACCAAACGGACTTATCAAATTCCCCACACTTAAGTGTTGCTTTCCCTCAAGCAACAGAGTACAACAACAAATGAAATTTTGGATCAAACACTTATTTACAAAAATATTTTGGAAAAACTATTGACCACATTTTTAATCAATTTGTTACACAAAATTCTTTTACATTATTTAATCTTTACAAAAATAGAACTACTAGAAATAGCACTCTTTTTAGAAAAAAACATAGTAAAATATTTTTATTTTTTTCTAAAAGATGCACATAAATTAATTTTATTGGCTAAATGTAAAAGTTGTCCATTTACAAACTTGGATACTAAAGTCTAAAAAAAATTGTAAGTGTTTTATAATAACTGCAATTATCATTTATTCCTATGCAAAGAGTAAGTTTGAATTTTTTTGTAGAACATCACTTTGTCATGTTGACACAAGTAAAAACTTTGATCCTCATCCCATGACATAGAACCACGAGCTTTTTGGATTTTTATTCACTCAAAAACCTCATCACACGACATAAAACCGCATGCTTTTTGGCACTCACTTCAATATAAGTCTCATCATCTGACATAGAACCAAATGCTTTTTGACTTTGAATTCACTCCAGAGCTCGGTCTCACCAAAGTGTGTTCTTTGAATTTTTTTAGTTCCAAAACTTACAATGCAATCATTGAAATATCAAAAAAAAAAATTTAGAAAAGTATACTGCTCATACTCAATTTGAAGTATTGAAACATCATCATTTTAAATGACAAGTTACAAATGTTTGACCTTAACCTATTTTACAAGTTAATGTTTATTCACTAAAACAATGATTTCTTTTCAACACATTAGTATCCAAATTTATTTATTTACAAAACTTATTAAAGTTAGCCAATAAAAAGACTATATGTGCAATTTAAAGAAAAAAATTAAAAAATTTGGCTAATTTTTGCATAAGGGGGCTCTTAAAAAAAATTCTACCTATGAAAAGAGTAAAAAGTGTAAAACAATTTTAAAAGTATCAATAGTGATAACTAGACCGATTCAGAGTATTCGGGATCGGGCAGAATGCTGCCAATTAGGTGCTCTTAGGCTCACCCGAATAAAACTTTCCACAGAATGACCCAATAGGAATGGTGGGACAAGTTCGGCTTCCGAAGGCGCACCCTTTGCATCTACTTAAGTACCATTCCAGCTTAAAAAGTCATTCCGTACACGGTGCATAGATCACTATTAATATGTAAAATGCAACAAAGAGTATAAAAATATTTTCAAAAAAATTTTTCCAAAACAAATAAAAATATTCTGTACCAAACTCCAATCTCCCCAAACTTAGGGTTGACCTCGCCCTCGAGGTCATTAAGCGATAAAAACAAGAGTTAAGGACAGAGTTAATTCTCAAGTTTTCTTTGAAAAATGTTTTTACAAAAAATTTTATGCACAAAAGTTAGTCATTTCTCTTTTTTTTGTTGAGTCAAAATGGTTCACCAGCATTCCTGATTCCAAACTCCACCTGCACACATAAACACACAAAACGCGTAAAAAGGAAAAAGAAAAATAAAATTTATTCACTTGGGTTGCCTCCCAAGAAGCGCTTCTTTAACGTCACTAGCTTGACGTTGGCCCATTTTTTACGGGACTTACCAATCCGAGAGTCATAAAGTTTGACCTTTTTGACTCTCTTCTGATGCCACCTTAGTTGTGTTCTTTTCCAGTGCGAGGATCTGACTTTCCAAGTCCCCAATGGGCTGACTTTCAGTTGGTGGATAGATGATTACGACATGGACTTCCCTTGAGTCTTCAGTGTCTCTCATCAAGAGTTCGTCCGAGCTCATTTGACTATAACTTTCCTTCGAGTAAGAATGGTCATACCCGTCAAGTAGAGAGTCAAAGAAAACTTTGTTCGAATCCTCCGGAGGGATTTCAGCATTAAGAACTTCTATAGACGTGATGGATTCAGCATCACAGGGTAGTTCCTCATCTGTAGATTGTTCAAACTCATCAGTATCAAGGGGGTTGGTGGTGGGCTCAGATTTCTCCAAAACAGGTTCCTCTAGAGAAGTGTCTTTAACAAATGTTAGGAGGACATGTTCCTCCAACATTTCTGGTGTAGCTGGTGAAGGCGGTTTCGAAATAGGATCCTCGGTAGGCTTCACCTCTTGTACGATTAAACTTCGTGGGCTTTCAGGAAGCATCATCACTGTACCTCGTGCAATCATTTCTGTAAGTGTTATCTTATTTTCGATATACAGTGGTGGAGTTTGTGGGTATTCAAGAATTGAGACATTGTTAGATTCAGTTTCAGATTTTGTCTCAGATTCTTCATCCTCTTCTAGAGCAACAACTTTCTCCATTTGAGTCTGGAGAGTTTGTTGTTCCATAGCCTTCTTAAAGTCCTCTAGCATCTTTTGCATATGCTCCCAATATTCGCGTTGTTCGTTTTCTTTCTGAGTTTGGAGCAGTTGGCGTTCTTCTTGGACTGTTTTGAGAAATCGTTCTCTCGCCTGGATTGCATCTCTGTTTGCTTCGATTTGCTCTTCACGAGTCAGAGAGTAATCACGACAATAGGGTGGTTCAAATGATGAACACTCCACCGCTAATGCTAGGTCAAGATTATGTATTCTTTCCTCGGTCCACAGAATTTCTTCAATGAGTGGATCTAGCTGGTCATCGTACATCGGCCCTTGCTCATTGTAATCATCTTGGTCACCATGAGATTCATAATAATCCCCACAGTTGTCTTGGTATGGAGAATATCCAAAGCTCCGAGACGGGGTATTGTAAGGTGGTTCCTCATGGTATGGATAATAATCAGGTCCATTATTGACCGAGTAGTCATCATAATAGGAATCCTGATGTGGATAATATGGTGGTGGTGGTGGTGGATAATTGGACTATTGGGAAAATGACGGTGGATGGTTGGGTGGTTGGTAGAAAGGAGGCAGATCGTAGTAATCGTCTCAAAAATTCATTTTCAACGATTACTACGGGTGGCTTTTGGAAAAGAGGTGAGAAGATCGATCTAACCTGTCTTCACCCAAGCTAATAAAAAAACTAAAACCGTGCCACTCCCCGGCAACGACGCCATTTGATGATTTAGTTTTTTCGGTAAGTCAACTTTCCCAATGAAGGGTTAGTTTTCTCCGAGTGTCGTGTCTCTCGAGGAGTGGACGAAGGGAATTAGCTAATTTTTCTAACTAGACGAAGGTTTGGACAAGTCTGAAAGTCTTCTCGATTGGATTTAAAAATAATAATAAACTAACTACTCGGTGCTTTTTGAGAAAAAGAAAATAAATAGTACGGGTATAGGACTAGACTTCGGGCCAAGGCATCATTTGAGTTAACTACTGTTGTCACATATTTAATCAATAATTGGAATAATAATATTTCTGTCACAAATATTTCATTAACATAACCTCTCTCAAGGGTAACATGTAAATTATTATTACCCAAATCAAACGAATACAACAGAGTTATATGCTTGACCATCAAACATGGTTACACGCATAAGTTACAAGTTACCTTAGCAATAACATCACACCGTAAAGAAACAAAGACGTACAACACATTACAACGAAACTACAATACACACAAAGCCAATGAACCATCCCTTCAAAACAGGGAGGCCAACAAACACTAAGCCAAAAAACACAAATCTTCAAAAAAGTTTATGTCCACAAGGAGTCACCAACAGCCATCATCAGATTTCTGGTTTGCACAGGGAGTTCGAAGGAGTCATCAACAGCCATCATCAGATTTCTTTCAGAGGATCTCATCACTTGTACAAGACAGGGAAGGCAAGCATGTACAACCAAAAGATTGTTAAGCATGAAGACACACCAAGTTACAAATCGAGGAACAGAAGCAATAAGAGCCTATCAGCCAAAGCCATAAACAGAAGCTCAATTCAATCACAATCATCATGGAGGTTCATCTTCAGAGTATGGAAAATAGCACGTCTGAGAGCGTAGGTGTTAAGTTCTACAACAGTCCAAGGCACACACAAGGGGGTTCAACAATGCTCAGGGAATAGTAGGGAAAAGATCAGCACAGGAGAGGCAGACCATGCTCTACACATCCAAAAGGGGTGTTCAGAGGTTAAGGTGTTTCCAGAAAACCAGATATCCAGCCAAAAGGCAATTCAAACAAAGTTGCACAAATCCAAACAGAAACAGATACCCAAAACCAGGAGCCAGGGGTTCCGAGCCATTCTACACTTAACCACTCAAAGGAAGAGTGTAAGTTTAGTCTGACCTGTCACCCAGAAGGACAGCAAGAGGAGGGAGGAGGAAGGAAAGAAAGAGAAGGAGAAAGAGAAAAAAAAGAAAAGAAGGGAGGGAGGGGGGGACAAGGTAAGAAAGGAAAGGGATCCATACCAACTACTAGAGATCCAGAAGGGATCTACAAGGGTTGATATGTTTCCAACCACCCAGTGGTCAGGCCAAAGGCCAATCAAGAACTCCAAATCAGATATCAAAGTCCACTCTAGGGGGCTCCAGATCAAAACTGCCAGTGCCCACTCCAAGGATGAGTAGGCAGGGGTAGTATGGTCTATCACCCAGAAATCAGCAAAGAAAGGGAGAGAAAGGAAGGGAAACAAGAAAGGAAGGAAAAAGAGAGAAAGGGGGGGAGGGGGGACAAGGTAAGAAAGGAAGGGATCCATACCAACTTCTAGAAATCCAAAAGGGGTCTAAAGAGGTTGATATGTCTCCAACCACCCAGTGGTTAGGCCAAAGGCCAATCAGAAATTCCAATCCAAAATTCAAAGTCCACTCCAGGGGGGGCTCTAGATCAAAACTGCCAATACCCACTCCAAGGATGAGTAGGCAAGGGTAGTATGGTCTATCACCCAGAAATTAGCAAAGAAGGGGAGAGAAAAGAAGGGAAAAGAAAGGAAGAAGAAAGAAAGAAGGGAGGGAGAGGGGGGGGAAAGAAAAGGAGTAAGATGGAGGAAAGAGACCCAGGACCCAACCCAAACTCTAAATATCAAAAAGGGGTATGGAGAGTTTGGCTAGTTTCCTGCCAACCCAATGGAAAACAACCATCAGGGTCCCAACCCAGCCCAAAAGTGATAATGAAGTCCAATCTCAACTATTACCCATTCCCAGCCTTAAAGGGGCCTTAGGAAACAGCCTGTACATCACCTTATAAACACTCAACTTGATCTTCTGGATAGTAGAATGGACATCAACTGCAGTCTGATCAAAGTATGCCCCATTTCTATGTCTCCAGATGTGATAAACAGTGCTAAAGGTTGGCAATCTGCACATTTTCTTAATGTTTGAATGAGCATGGTGATACTTCCTAAGCCATTTGATAGCTCGGTTTAAAGTTGAGAGAGCAACATCCAGCTTGAGCCACTCCTTAACTCCATTCCAGATCTGTGCAGAGACATGGCATTCAAAGAAGAGATGTTTTGTGTCTTCAGCATCCAAGTGACAGAGGCTACATTCCCTGCTTTCCATTTCCACATGGGAGAGATTCACCTTAGTAGGGAGCCTTTTCCTAAGGGTCAGCCAAGTGGTAAAAGAAAATCTCGGGGGAATATAAGTCTGCCAAATGAATTTCATCCAAGGCTTTGGCTGGTTCCTTGTTCTAAGCAGATCATAAACAGTAGTGGTATTTAACCTGCCATTCTCACACATGTTCTATAATCTCTCATGAAACCCATCAGGACCCCCAAGCTTATCCACAAACAGATCCCTAGCAATGGACATTTTTTGGAAAAAGTGTGCATCCCCTCTCTTGGGTGTCCATGTCCACACCTCCCTGTTTTGAAGGTAGACTGCATGAACCCATTTAACCCACAGTGTATCCTTAGCACAGGCAATATTCCAAAGATTTTTTATAAGAAAAGCTTGATTCCAAGTGTAAGAGTTCCTCAACCCCAGCCCTCCTTCTTCTTTTGGTTTGCAAATATCACTCCAGGCAACCTTAGAAAACTTACTACCCCACAAGAAGCTTCTGCATATACTAGTGATTCTATTGAGAACAGTCTTATGGATAGGGAAAGCCTGAAGCCAGAAACACTGGATCCCTTGAATTACACTTCTGATCAGTTCCACTCTCCCAGCCAGTGACAAAGTTTTAGTGTTCCACTTACAAATATTGTCCTGGATCTTAGCAATAAGAGGTGCAAAGTCCCTTTCAGAGGCTCTTTGGGAAGTTAATGGCAAACCAAGGTATCTAACAGGGAGACTTCCCAGAGGAAATTGGACCAAGTTAAGGATGTCCTGTCTATTATCCTTAATCTCTCCAGCAAGGAAAATGATAGATTTCTGTGGATTAACTCTCAGTCCAGAGGCCTGAGAGAAGTGATTAAGGGCATCAGGCAGGACAGTAACAGATTCAATATCTCCTCTGGAAAACAGCATCAAGTCATCTGCAAAAGCAATGTGAGTAATCCCCAAAGTGGCACACAAGGAATGGTAGTTAAACTTTCTCTCCTTAACCATCAATTTAAGCAATCTAGAGAGATATTCAATGCAAAAGAGGAAAAGGGAGGGAGCCATAGGATCCCTCTGCCTAATACCCCTCTTACATTTAATAAACCCATGAAGGCCTCCATTGATGGCTAAGGAAAAGGTAGCAGTAGACACACATTCCATAACCCACTTGAGGAATTGCACTGGGAAACCAAGCTCTCTCATAACACTCTCCAGAAAATCCCAAGAAACTGTGTCATAGGCTTTAGTGAGATCCACCATCATCATACACTTAGGAGCAGTTCTTTTCCTGGCATACCTTCTAACCAACTGCTGAGCAAGCAAAACATTATCCATCATGTTCCTCCCTTCCACAAAGGCTCCCTTAGCACTATCAATAATTCCTGGCAGTATATGGCTCATTCTGTTGGACAAGATTTTAGTGATAACCTTGTAGGTGACATTTGAGCAAGCTATGGGTTTGAAGTCTTTCACTCCAGGGTTTTCTTTCACCTTAGGTATCAAAGCAACAGTTGCATGATTGATCTGCTTGAGTAGCCTCCCACATCTGAAAAACTCCTCCACAGCTTCACAAAGACTTTGGCCCACAATGTTCCATTTACTTTTGAAGAAGGCAGCAGTAAAACCATCAGGACCAGGTGCTTTATCATTCCCAATACTAAATAGGGCTTCTTTGACCTCAGCCATAGAGACCCTTCTGATCAACCATTGTCCTTGCTCTGGAGACACCCTAGTCCTTTCTTGGAATACCTCCCCCCTGATTGGTATAACCTATGTTGTGGTGCCAAACAGGTTGTTGTAGTACCCAATGAACTGTTCTGAAATCTCCTCCACAGAAGTAGTCATGCCTCCCTGTTCAGTAGTAATGAAGGGGATGGAATTGAGAGCATGCTGTTTCCTCATCAAGGCATGAAAATACTTAGTGCATTTGTCCCCCTCAATAATAAGATCAGTTTTAACCTTCTGCTGGTAAAAGGATCTCTCTGCATCATTCAAAAAACTTGCTTTCTTTCTAAGCATCTCACTCCTAGCCAGGAGAATATCATCATTAGGAGTTTGAAGTAGTTGCTTCATGACATGGCTATAATCCTTTCTAGCTTCTGAAGCTCTTTGTGAAATGTGACCAAATTCCAGGTTGTTAAGATGTCTCAGGGGTTGTTTAAGCAACTTGAGCTTTTTGCAAAGTCTGTACTGCCTGGTTCCTTCAACTCTATTGTTCCAAATGCTACCAAGTATATTGTCAAAAGAATGATGACTTAACCACATATTGAAAAACTTGAAAGGTTTGTTCCCCTTTATAACTTTCTGGAAAAGGTCCAACAGAACAGGATAGTGATCAGATTCAACCACCATATCACAAAACTCAGCACAGCATTCCCAACCAATTGTTTCCCACTCATGATTAATTATAACTCTATCCAATTTGGCCCATTTCTTCCCTTTGTTCCAAGTGAACTTCAACCCTGTTGCTCTGGCATCAATGAGATCATTATTGACTTTGAATTGCATTAAGTCAATCATGGAATAAGCAGAAGGGGTATGGTAGTTGAGTCTCTCTTCAGAGCTAGCCACACAGTTAAAATCTCCAATAATGGCCCAGGGACCATCTCCAGAATGCTTTGACAGATTATCCCAAAGGTTTCTCCTGATGGACACATTATACAAAGCATACACAAAAGAAATAGCAAAAGACTTTTGTATAATTAGGCATTGAACATCACAATGTATAAACTGATCAGTAATATTCTTCACATTACATCTAACAAAGATAGGGTTCCAGAGAATGGCCATTCTCCCCCCTTCAATAATATCAAAATTCTGAGTAAAGGTCCAATTAGGGAGTTTGTTTTTAGCAAAAAGTTGTAGTTTGGCCAAAGTCATCTTGGTTTCAAGAATGCAGCAAAAAGAAACCCCAAGATCATGCATATATTTACACAAAAAATGTTGCTTAGAGGCTCCATTAAGGCCTCTAATATTCCAACAAAGTACCTTCATCTACGGTTGGAGCCAAGGCCCCTCCCTCTGTTTCTGTTGCCCC